TTAGTATTATCGTAGAGTAATATTTAACAAATTTAAGCGATTAATTCATTACATTGAACGGCAATTGAATGAAAAGTCTAGCTGTACTATAAAAATAAAAGATGTACTAAAAAGGAATAAATTTAGAATAAAATATTTAGTGCAATTTTTAATGCTCGGTCAATGGCGAAGGGAGTTATAATTTACATAAATTACATTATACAAACAAAAAAATATTATTAACTATTTTATATAATAATTTAAGCTAAGACGCTCGATGTAAAAACTTATTTTCTATGCAAAGTCCGTAATTTCAATGATATATATGTAATGTAAAATTTTATTATCATGCGAAAAACATAGGGCTTTAGCATACATAATATATTTGAATTTTCGAAACTCCTCTGAAATAGTAATAAAGCCAAACAAAAAAAAAGCAAAGCTAGGAGATAGAAGAAATAAAGGAAAACCCAGGGAATAATGTGACAGCGTTTATAAAACTAACTGCACAACAAAATTTATATAACAAGATGAATTAATTTGCATTAATATGCAATTCGCTTAAACATCATAGCAAATCATTGCCTCATTGCATTCTTATGAAAAAATGATGTTTAATATTCAGTCAGCTAGAAGTGAAGAGCATCGATAATTAGATTCTTCACCTGAATATCATTCTGTCTCATGCAGCTGCGTTCGAATATTCGATTCGCTCTACATGTACATGCAAGCCTCATTCTTCGTAACATCGTGACGTCACAGATACCGACTGGACTACTTGAGCCGAGGGTCTTATCGAGTCTTACGAGACGAACGTTTACTAACGAAGATCGTAGATCGTAACCATTTGTGTTTAGTCAGCTAATTCAGTTCTCAGAGAATCAGTACAACCTAAGTATTGCATATTTATTTTCATCAATATTTTTCATATTTTTCATATTTTTCATCATAATTTGTCATGGCCGACGACGTACAATATTAGATAAAATACATTTTGGCCTATTATCCATTAAAAAAAAAAAACAAAAAGAACCACTAAATTTATAAATAGAGATTTTTTTTATTTATACCGAGACAGTTAATTAAATATATTTTACTGAAAAACATTTATTGAAAAACTCTATTACTCGATATTAATTTCATTTGAAATCTTCTACTACGAGCATACAAAGTTATTTATATAATTCATTGTGAAGCAAAAACGAAATCGGATACAAAATCGAAGAAATTCCGTGTATATATGGTAAAGTATATTGAATTTTGAAATCGACAAGATCTAGATTATTAGATATCGTGTACCACTCACAGTATCTACTAAAACGAAATCACCATTGTATTGATAAATGGGTTTTTAAAAATTTTACTACCGACGTCATTATAGTAGTCACATCGTATAAAATACCAAGCTCTTACTTCTTTTAGTCCCGTGCTATTTTCTATAATAATACATCTCGATAAATACAATAACGCGATGAGATACGTAAAAGTGAAAAATTCAACTTTGTAATGATGTTGCTATATTGAAGTGCACTCAAAGTTTCAATCGAATGAACCTTTATACAATTATATAAGACGTCACGAAACTAATTCTTCTCGTCGCTTCCTTCTCCTCTTAACGTACCGGACACTAATAAAATACCAATCAATCAACGTATGACGACGACCTTATAAAGCCAGAAACATGAAAGATATTAAAAACAATAAAAAAGCGAACGTTATTATAATTTCATTAAAATAAATGATAATGATATTATAATTATAATCTAATTATATTACAATTGTAATTATAATTCGTATTTTTTGTTTTTCGTGCACATATGCGTATAAAAAAATTCAGGAGTAAATGCCGAATAAAACGTGAAATTTTTGTATTTGTCTTTTAAATTCAATTTTAATTATAATAGTATGCATTACTATTACAAATTTTACGTATAAAAACTTTTTAACTAAAAAATATCAAAGAAGTCATGTATTTTTTAAATGCTCGCAGCCTTTTATGTCTTACCTTTTTATAAAATTTGAAATGTTCTGTGTTTAAAAGTTTTATGCATTATCTGTTTTCATAAATAGTTGGATGAATTCTGCAGTTGAAGTAGCATTGAAGGATTATAATTCATCCGGCTTATAATTATTTGATGAGTAATATTAATAATCTCAGAAGATTATTAATCACAAGGATCTTTTAATTCAAATTTAACAAATAAAATTATTTCATTTTCAGATATTATATTATATTATATTCGTCTAATTTTGTTGACTTTAACATTAATTCTCGATTCTCTCGTAGTGCCCTCTTAAGATTAATTAATTTATAAATAACTTTAAAATAATAGTATTTATTTTACCGCATACAATTGATAAATATAATGATTTGTTAGGCATTAAGGCACTGATTACAAATTTTCTCCTACGAATACACACATGCATTTCTATTTTTCGCACGCATTTTTTATATTTCCCCTTGGGAGTTATTTTCGATCTCGTATATTTTGTATACAAGTATGCAAATATTTCATCTATGAGTGGACTTTATTTATGCATTATAAATAAAGTCTCTCGTGAGCATCATAATAATGAGGTCTATATATCTTCGCGAGTCAGTAATGCCGCAACAGCTCATGCTAATAGCCTTTTGAATTTACGAGTTTCACAATAAAAAATATGAACTATCGACATAAATAAAGTAAGTAAGCATTGAACTGATCGACGGCTTAATGCTTGAAAACTTATTTAAAAAGAAAATAAATTATGAAAAATACAATTATAAATATATAGAAACAAGAAGTTAATATGTACTTAATACGCGTATAGAGTGAAAGTAATATAATGAGATATTTTTAAATTAATCTTGATTTTTTCTAGATTTTTCTAGATAAATCATTAATATTTTGAAAGCATGAGATATTTATATTACAAAAGCAATCGTCTTTAGATTTATAAAAAAAAAATTTCAGTATCGTTAAATCAGGCTCTGACCTATTATTTGTTAATCTTAAAATTCTGTTATTGAATTAAACAAAAAATATATTTCTAAAATATAATAATAAAATCATTAATTTAATAAAATTACACATATTTTATTAGAAAAAAATGCCTTTTATAATAAGAAGCTGATAAATTATGTTCAATTTATATTAAGTAAATGTAAATATTGAAAATATTTTTCTCAATTAAATTTTCTTGTATTATTTCGAAATTTCTCTACTTTTATACAAATAGTATTTGTTACCAATAAGTATTTTTATTACTTTCATTTATTTAAATATTACCAGTAGCCAACTAAGACGGTAAAAAAAATTTTTTTCAATATAGTGGGTTGTATTTAATACATATAACAATCAGAAATACATTTGTATAGCGTTATATTAAGAGAGTAATTTTAGAATGGAATAAAATTTTTGTAATATGACACGTTGAACTTTTTGAAACTTTATGTTAAAGAAGACTTACTATAAAGTTTGAAATGCAAGTGATGCAATGTACAAAACCAAAAACCAGTGACTATCGTTACTAAATGTATACTACATAGGCATATTTCGTGTTAGCTATTTCTACTTCATAAGTATATATCATATTTTTGTTCTAAATTTAATCCGCTACATCGTAAATTCGCACATGCGCGCATTTGTACATACCCATGTATATGCAATACATGATGAATTTAAATATTAACGTACACAATTATATAACTTAATGTTGATGGCTGGCGACTGAAAGCACGAACATGGACGTATTTATTAAAACCATCATATACAAAATGTCAAATACCTACTTTTTCTTATAAATTTTATATTCTTAGGTACAAGTGTGCATCATAAGAATATCGCCTTACTTATTCTTTCTAGCCACTCGAGTTTTATAGTCGTATATGCTTTAAAAGCGACCTCTGAAAATTTTTAGCTATTTCCGACACTTAGTTACTAAACGAAACTCGTTTTATCTTACTACGAAAAGTAAATGTCTGCAGATGCTACTACCTTCTTATTTAATGAAAATTTCAATTAACGAACAAAATATTTAGCTTCAATAATAGAAAAAAGACACTTTGAATGTAAGAATTGCCATGAGCCGTCAATCAGTTCAAAATACAATTTCCAGATTTTCTACATAACCATTGTCAAAGTATCAAATTGTTGCAGCAAAGCATTATTTTCAATAAAATTAGGCTATTTTTTATTATATTCTCGCTTCTTCCATTGCATAAAGATCCTTTTACTATTTCTTAGTCCTATTTATAAAGAGAAGAAAAAAAAAATAGAAACAGCTACTATTTTCTCTCAAGATGGTACAAATCTTGACTTCATCTTCATTGGGACAAAGTTTTACCGTCTACCATATGGTTTAATAATAGATTCGAATTTTATTGACTCTTATAAAAAAATCAAATGTTAAAGTGTGCAAATGCAATCTTAACTATACCAATTTCAGCAAATAGTAACAGTACATTATTTTAATATATTCATATATTTAATATCTTTCTAAATTTTAATTTAACCATTATCTACTACCATTTGTAATATTTATCAAAGTAGCTATTATAGTTTCTACATACGCTGAATGCTCATAATCAACCATATAGAGTAAAATAATATAGGTTTATTATCTTTTAAATTCAAAAATTTAATCATAGCATTATATTTCATATTTCCTATATTTATATGACTGCCCACATTGACTGATATAAATGATTCTTACTCAGCAACTAAGAATTAGAAATAGCTGAAATTTTTAAGCACAGCTTTGAAAGTACAAAGGATCAGAGAATTTGTGTTATTAGAATAAGCAACACGATTTACATATCAATACTTAAACAATTTCCATTCGTATTTAAATATCGTATTTATAAATATGTGTTTATGAACACGGAACATTTGAATTTTAATACTAATAATAATTTCAATATTGAATACGATTTATTATTGTTTTGCAATTAATTAAAAAATGAATAAAAATTTTCTTTCAGGCACATATTACAATTATTAAAGCATTAATTATAAATTTTGCGTCCTTTGTAGGATTTCGTGACAGGCCTGAGTATACTATCCCGTGGATCCATGGACGAGAAGCTTCGCTGGACTTTTTCGCTTTACGATATCAATGGCGACGGATGCATCACCCGCGAGGAAATGACAGACATCGTCACCGCAGTTTATGAGCTTATGGGGAAATTTGCTGATCCAAATCTCAGCCAGAACCACGAGGGTGTGAGACAAAAAGTTGACAGAATGTTCCAGGTGCGTTCACTCTTTACGCATGCATGTGCAAAATAATCTATGCGAAAGAGGACGAAATAACAATAATACTTATATTAATATAATTAAATCTATTAATGGAATAAATTATTATATATATATATATATATATATATATATATAATATTACGCACCGGCAAAAAAAAAATATAAAAAAGTGTTTCGCTTTTTTATATATATATATATATATATATATATATATATAAGAAATCGTAACACTTTTTTATATTATTTTGTTGCCGTTGCGTAATATTATATTGCATTTTTGAAATGGTCAGACATTTTCATGATATAGTCGCTTAAACTAAAATTTTAAACTTTTATGCTGCCGCGATACTTCTACAACAGCTATAGAGATTTAGCAAAATTAATAAATTGTTCATACATTTATTATTTAATACTTTCAGAAATGAAGTAATGACGTAAACGATGCTAAAATATATAGAAAATAATTTAAAATGATTGAAATTAAATATTAATCTGTATCAGTAAATTCATACAATATAAAAGAAATTAGAATGAAGCTATTATTCATAAATACATCATAAAGTAAATACGAAATATAGATTTTTATTTTAATTTTAATGCAAAATGTTGACGCATTTATCAAAACATATTATAATAGACTAAAATAGACTCTATTCAGTAAATTATTGTATATTAAAATGTATATATGAGTAGTAATTATTAAAATTGTTCATTCAAAAAGAAAAATTGAAAATAAACATACTTTATAAAGTATAAAAATATTAAATACATTCGTATACATTAAAATTGCTTAACATTATAAATACTATAATTCTATATAATTCTAAATATCATATATTTTTTTAATCTTAATTATTAAGGAAAAACTAAACTAAATCAAGATATTTATTCAAATAAACTCAATTGGTTCTGAAAATAAATTAAACTACTTTATTTAAATGAAATAATTGGGGAAAAAATATATCGATACTATTCCATCGTAGCTATTGTATAACGTAATATTTATCAGTGAAACATTTATTAAAAAATAATTCAAACTATAATAACCGACAATAATTGAATTACTTAAATTGAAAAAGAAATGGTTTTTTATGTAATTTTAACCTACCATTTTTACGATTGAACAGAAATTTTTAATTAAAATTTTGTTTTAATAATAAAGTAAATAAAGTAAAAAAATACAAAGAATTGTAAAAAGAGAATACATTTTTACCATTATTAATTTTCATGATTAATTTATATGATTATTTATAAGTATAAAAAATGTTTTAAATTTCTTATAAAATTATGTATTTGTAACAATATGTTACATGCATTAAATAATCTATATTTTAATCATATCATTTTCCCTTAAATTCTTCGGTCCCTTAAATATTAAATCATTACAATTATTTTAAAAGATTTATTTTAAATTTAAATAGTTTGACAAAGAAATAAATTAATTTAATAAATTAAAATAATAAATTACAGAATAGAAGTTTTACAAAGTAATTTTAAACTACACAAAAACGTAATGATTTAATAATTGTAATAAATTATAAAAAATATTTAATAATATCCTACTGTAATACATTATTATGTAATGGTAAGTACTGTTTTACCTTGTCTATTGTACAAAAATTACAACTTCAAGTGACTACATTCATTAGGAGAAAATATAGTTTAAAAGAGCTCGTTTGAATTCTATGATTTGTAATATAATGGTATGTATCGTGAAAGACACGTCGTTTAAAAGAGAAAGCGTATTCGCTTATATTTTGACCTAAAAAAAAAACAACTATCCATAAATAAATATAGAAGAAATGTAAAAGTACCAGATAAGTTGACTACTTAAAAAGGAAAAAATACGGCTAATTAACACAGCAAGAACATTTCAACGACTTCAACGAGCTCTTAAAGTATCTCTGAATTTATGTTTCTACCAATTTTCTTTAAGGACTTTTACATTTGTATATACATATATGTATATATATATATACATATATATATATATATATATATATATATATATATATATTTGTGCTATTATAAATTTATTAGAATATTCTTTAAAATACATCATTGAATACATTGAATATGTATATATACCATTACAAATTCATCAGAAATATTCTTTAAAATACAGCATTGAATATATTGAATATTCCCCTTCCTTTTACCTCATATAAAAAAAAACTCCATTTAAATATTGTAATAAAAAATAAAAAAAATCAATAATGAAGGACTAAAATATTCAAAGTAATGATATTTTTTTTTTTTGTAATTAATTGTACAGATAACTTGTTTAAATCTTTGATATATTAATTTCATCTGCACACTAATATGATTAATATTTTACTCATAATATAAATAAATAATTATACAATAAATTAAAGCCATACTATATATTAATAATGTAAATAGTATTTGTAATTAGAATGAGAAACAAGCCAGTTGATGATTACACATTCATTCGAAATTATTCATATTTTGATTTGAACATATTCAAATTAATTTCACTCACATTGTTTATTACTTTAGATATCGCAATATCATTATCATATTATAGAAATTTAATTAGTTTTCTTATATTTTAAACGTATATTTGGAATTATTATTTTAAATTTTCTGACCGTTTACTTTCAATCTTAAATATTAATTTTCTAATTTATTTTAATTATAAACTTTCTAACGCATCGTATTTGTATATAAATAAATCTTAATTTAATATAGTATTAGCACTTTTGATTTACAATTTATTTAAAATGTGTACGAATACTTATTATCTCGTTTTTTTTTTTTTTATTTTTTTTTTTTTAGCAATAAAAATATTTTAAAATTCTCTTAGACTGAATCTTAGAGAAACGAAAGAAATATAATCGAACTAAGCTGACAAAAAATCGAATATTCATATTAATTGTAATATCATAATAAAAAGAAATCTTATTTTTTAATATATGACGTACTGAAGTTTATATTGTTCTTCATTCATATAACAAAGAAACATATAATTGAGAATAAGATATTATCTTTCGTGTTGCTTCAATATTTTCGAATTTAGCTTAGTAGGAATTAATATGACGAATAAGCATCGCTTCTTGATTAATTAATTTTCTGATTTTACGTATCAATCACTAAGAATTTTAATGAAATAATTAATGAATACGAAAATATCGATCAAGCAGTAGAGATGTCAGAGTAACTTTAAAATAGCAAACAACTGAGATGTTTTACGATATAACTAAAACGAACGAGAAATAAATAGTTCTAAGGCAATAATGTTGTAATAATAGGAATCTAATAATATTTTTTTAAAGCATATAGATTATTCGTTAAAAGCAAAGTAATGGAAAATACGATTTACATAATGCAGTGCATAAAGGTGTTATTTTGATATTTGCTGAGAAAATAATTGAATAAGCCAATTGTATAAAAATAATTTACTGTACAAATATAAGTATCTAAAAAAAAATTGTAAAAACAAAAATTTAATGAATTTTTTTACAAAATTAAAGAAATTAAATAACCACAGCAATAAATGATATAATCGAAAAGATATAAATACATATGTCCGTAATAAATGAAAAGACGAAATATTTATAATTTCAATTATTTTTCATACATGTAAAACCTCGCTCGTCATACAAACTGATGTTTTAATTTTATTTTTAATAACTTAATTGATCGCTATCTACGCGTAGTTAACTTTATAAATATTTTACAAAATCTTTTTTACAAAAGACTTATTTATTCGATTTTGCACGAGATAATAATAATCTCGATTAAATTAGTAAAAAAATTTTACAATATAATGTTTTATATAATCAATTATTTATCCTATTAGCAGCTTATCTGATTAATAAATCCTTAATATGTAGTTGAAATTTTATTTTGAAAATAAAAAATTATTAATTTGTATCCTAATATTTCCAATCGCAATAAAACTTATGGGTTAATACTATTTTTAGTAAAATTGTTACTTAGTTTTTTTTTAAAATCACTAAATTACATATTTTTACAAGTAATTAAACGCAAGAAAAAGTTTCATGAAAAGATTCAAATAATATAACATTTATACTCTCAAAATAAATTTAAATAATACAATTTGTTTTAAATAAAAATTATAATAAATTTACATCATTTAACAAAAAAAAAAAAAAAAAAAACAATGTACACTCAATTATTTCTAAAATACGAAATTACAGTTTATAAACATTAATTAGTAAACGAAAGGTTAAATATATCAAACTTATGCAATAAATTTATTTACTTCATTTTCAAAAAATGAAATTGGTTTAATCAGTAGCAATGCATATGTGTGTGTGCGCGCGCGCGCGTGTGTGTGTGTGTGTGTGTATTCCAAGGGAATTATTTAGAAAAATTGTTTATTTAAGGATAATTTGAATAAACATTTCCTTCGTTTTAAGAAAATTACTAGATATTTTTAACGTAATAAGTTTCAATTGTACGAACTTTTCTTTCCAATATTAATTCAATCGAGACGACACAACAGTAAAGATTTTTAGTAGAATTGTATTTAAAATATTAATGATTAGAATACGTGCTTCCCAATATTAGCAATTGTCTTGCTGTAACTATTTTACGAAGCGATAAATTTCAAAATAAATGTTAAATACTAAGGTATGAGCTCGTAAAACAGTAAACATTTTCATTGCTTCAAATGATATTCAAATATATTATGAAACAATAATTTTATTGTAATAATTATAATATATTATACGAAATTTATTCAATTTATTATCATTATTATCATAATCATATTATAAATATATTGAAAACAGTTTAATTTTTTTTTTTTTTTTTTATTGACAGTTTACAATCATTTTTTATTATGTACTTATACAAGTTTGCATATAAAAATATATTTTACTATTCCATAAAAATAAAGAATATAGGATAGATTTAGGTCAAACTTTTGACAATCTATGTCCTATTTGTATCTATTAAAGTATTTTTATAACTTGCTACCATCATTATGCGGATTTGAAACTTAT